TAAGACACAAAAGGGGAAACTGCAATCATAATGAACGCTAAGGCACACACACTTAGCTGGGACTTTTAAGCAACATATACTTACTTTATTTTACAATTACTTGTGCTTGATATGTTTGTAGCTCTTTGATATTTGTTGACTAAACAAGTGAGTGAGCCGGCCAGCGTTGCTCAGTGGTTGGGTGTCAACCTATGAACCTGGAAGTCAGGGTTTGATTCCTGGTCAGGGCACGTGCCCAGTTGTGGGCTCGATCCCCAGTAGGGGACGGGCAGGAAGCAGCCCATTGATGTTTCTCTCTCTCTCCCTCTCCCTTCCTCTCTGAAGTCACTAAAAATAGTAATTGGTAGGCATGCAAACTTGGGTTCCAGAGTTTTGATTGACTTCCCTCCAATCCGTGGAAAACCGGTTTGCCTTCATTTGCAATTCAATTCCTTTATTATGTAAAAATTTGTGGTTTTGACTTTTCCTTTGAACTGATTATAACTTCAGCTTTGTTCTTTCGAATTACAAAAATAAAATAAAAATCTTTAATACATGTTCACTTTTATATTTGTATGAGTCATGCTTTTGCCTTTTCCTGAAAATTGCCTTTCAACAATACTTGAGAGAAACAAGCTTGTTGGAAACAAGGTTTCCTCTAAACCTGCCAACTGAATGCACAGCCAGAATACCAGGAAATGGAGTTGAGGGGAGGCAGAGTAAGCCACCCCCATGGAGGCCTTTGGGATATTGATTCAGGTTATTTTTAAGAAAAGACTCAGGAAAAGTCAAGCTGCCTAAAAGGATTTAGATAGAAGACCTGCCCCAGGGAGGGAGACATCGTAAATAAGTATAGCTTAATATAAAGTGTGACAGGGAGGAAAAAACTAGCAAGGTCCTCTCTTGCCAGCAAACACTTATCTACCAAACATTTGCTTTCCCATCTCCATGTGACAGTCAGGTTTATAACAATCAGGACAATTCATGGAAATCTGGACTTGAGATTGAGAGAGGTGGTTTCCGCTGGGCACTTATATGCAGAAGAGAGATAAAGTAGATCTGGAGAAAGCCTATGCACAGCCCAGCTAAGCTCTGTGCCCTGGAATATCTATCTTTTTTTTTTTTTAAATCCTCACCGGAGGGTATTTTTTCCATTGCTTTTCAGAGAGAGTGGAAGTAGGGGGGGGGCAGGGAGAGATAGAAACATCAATGTGAGACACGTCGATTGGTTGCCTCCCACTAACCTGCTGACCAGGGCCAGGGATTGAGCCCAAAACCAAGGTACTTGCTCTTGGCCAGAATCAAACCCAGGACCCTTCAGTCCCCAGGTGGACTCTCTAGCTACTGAGCTAAACCATCTAGGGCTATGCCTACATTCTAATTAAAATTTCCAAGGTTGTTTAATGCAAAGAGCTTTCAAACCAGATCAATCTTAGTTCAAAATTAAACATCAAAACTATATGAATGGTGTGACAGTAGACAGGTTACTTAACTTCTCTGAAACTCAGTTTCCTCATTTGTTAAAAAGAAAAAATGAATGCCTACCCCGTGTAATTGCTATGATGATTAAATGAGTTAAATCCATAGTGGAAAAACAAAGTTCTTGGTATATACCATTTACTCAAAGATTAGGACCCACTCAGAAGGTGGAAAAGATTCTCTTAGATAAGCAGGACAAGTAACTTTATACTACAGGGAGTAAGGAGATTGTTGCATATAGACTAAAGGTATAATAGATTATGTTTTCATATCAAAAAAGAGGGCTGTGATTTCTTTAGGGAAGGACAGACTGAAGGAGGGAAAGTTTTTGTTTTAGGTGCTATAAAATAAATGTTTTTGTGTTTCTCTGGTGGGCATGTACATTTTAGATATCCTTACTTTTTTTTTAAATTAATGAACTACTTTTTAGAGCAGTGTTAGGTTTGTAGCAAAATTGAGTGCAAAGTACAGAGTTCCCGTATACTCCCTGCTCAGCCCCACATACACACACCACCATCTCCCATCAGAATGGTACATTTGTTACAACTGATGGCCAACATCGACGCCTCATCAGGTGTCCATGGTTTACATTAGGTCTCATTCCTGGTGGTCTACTTTCTATGGGTTTTGACAACTGTGTTACAGACATCCACCCTTAGAGCATACAGAATAGTTTCCCTGAGAAGTCCACCTAGGAAGGCTACTTTGAAGATAAGTAAACAACAGGTTATTAATTGGAGAAGCATAGAAAACCAATGGGCTACAAATTGCAATTTGAATGTCTACACCTCATGTGAAGACTAGTCTAATAAAGGGTGACACTATTAGGTACCAGGAGTCAGTGCTCCACANCCACCCACCCATCCACTCATCCATTCATCTCTATTTCATCTACTAGTTTATTCTTTGGCTTTCTGGCACTAGAGGATAATATATCTATACCTTTAAGATGTAGGTGCCAAAATGGGACAGATAGTGATTTTCATCCTAGGTTCATCTTGGTTTTTCTTGCTGTATGGCAGTGATATTTTCCCTTAACATTTAAAATAGTATTTATTTAAAATTAAAGAAGTAATACAAATGTTTTTTTTGGGGGGGGGAGCACAAATGATCCAGATAAAGTGCAGCCCATCACCCATTACATTCCCTTCCTCACAGGTAACCATTACATTAAGTTTTCAATGACATTAATAATGGTGTGGATGAGAAGGATTTTCTTGTGAAAATAGATTTACAGTAAGCAGTCAGGCTGGTTCTGGTAAGTCATTCTTGATTTAAACTTATCACTACTACTCTATAACACTGAGCAGTCTGCATTATCATTTGCCCAATAGGAGGAAGAACACGATTATCTGTGTGACTATTTTAATTGCAAAGGTTCTGACCAAATGTAGGGACCCTTCTGATGTGATTGTTTTATATATATGAATATTTTATGTGTTTATATATACACACACACACATATATATATATNGGTTCTGACCAAATGTAGGGACCCTTCTGATGTGATTGTTTTATATATATATATATATGAATATTTTATGTGTTTATATATACACACACACACATATATATATATACACACACACACATATATATGGTTTTTATTGATTTCAGAGAAAGGAAGGGAGAGGGAGAGAGAGATAGAAACATCAACGACAAGAAAGAGAATCATTGATCAGCTGCCTCCCACACACCCCAACTGGGGATCGATCGCTAAAGATGGAAAGGGTTGGCCCTGGCTGGTGTGGCTCAGTTGGCTGAGGGTTGTCCTGTGCACTGAAAGGTTGTTGGTTCAATTCCCCATTAGGGCACATGCCCAGGTTTTGAGCTCGATCCCCGGTAGGGGGTGTGCAGGAGGCAGCCAATTGATGTTTCTCTCTCTTTCTTCTCCCTCTCCCTTCCTCTCTCTCTAAAAATCAATAAAAATCTTAAAAGTAAAGATGGAAAGGGTTGAATTCTATGCCACATAATCTGCAAGTATTAATAAAGCATTGTCAGTGGTTGTTACATTAGAATGTACATTAGAATCACCTGGAAAACTTTTTCAAAATACACTGCAGACTTATAGAATGAGATTATCTCAGGATGGGTCCTGGGCAGGTACATTCTAACTGAGCTCCACAGATAAGCATTCTATACACACAGCCTTAATTTAATACCATGACTTTATCTGATCACCCTGAGTGATCGTATCTATTTCCTTAGCTTCAACCTCTACATGGAGGGCTTGAACTAAGATAGCCATGGTGGTAACAAAGATGACAGTTAGAACCCAAGGCATTTATGAGGTAGAATCATAGTATTTAAACATAGAAGGAGAAGTTGACGACGGTTTTAATGAAAATTCAAACTTAACATAAAAGTTGAGAGATTGCTATTCACCCATTTTTGACCTAAAAAATGACAATTTCACATGATTCAACATAATATAAAACACTCATATACATGTTACCCAGATTCAATAATTATCAAGATTTTGCCTCATTGGCTTCATCTTTCCCCCTATTTTTCCTTTTAATTTTTATTGCTGAATAATTTTAAAGTAGATCCTGGACCTTAATTCATTTTACCCATATATACTTGGCATATATCTCTGTAAAATATCAAGCCTCGTATATAACATTNTTGCTGAATAATTTTAAAGTAGATCCTGGACCTTAATTCATTTTACCCATATATACTTGGCATATATCTCTGTAAAATATCAAGCCTCTTATATAACATCAATGTCATTATCACACCTAATTAAAAAGAATTCCTCTGTATCATCTGATACCCAATTTACACATTCACATTTTTCTGATTATCTTTAAAAATCTTTTACACTTTGATCAAATGAAGCGAGTTCCTCAATAAGGTCAACACATAGTTTTGGTGGTTGTGGTTCTTAAGCCTCTTTTCATCTCAGGGCAGTCTTCCAAACACCCCTCTTCTACTTTTTTCTCATGCTATTGACTTGTTGAAGAAACTGGGTCAGTTATCTGCCCTAGGTTATAATAGTCAGGGTGGTAACAAAAAGATTTGTTTACTTTTCCATGATGTCATATAACCTGGTCCTCAATCTGCCATATTTCCTCTAATCTTGAAGTTGCAGGGTCTGAACTTATAGTCACTATAATATCCTTTCTTGAGTACACAGAGACCACCCTTTAGAGCGTGAGAGCTAGACCAGGGTGAGTATGGTATCTTGGTTACAACACTTTCAAGCTGTGTGACCTTGGGCAAGTTACTAAACCTATCAAAGCCTCCGCTTTCTCATTTGTAAGACAGGAATGTAACATTTCATAACCTGAAGAGTTCTGTGAAGATAAAATGAGATAACGAATCCACAATGCCCAATACTAGGCCTGATAGACAGGCAAACAGTTGCTCAGTGAAATGTCAGTTCTCGTCAATGACAAGAGATGACTTCAGCTTATATAACAGAAATACTCATTTCAATAAAATAGCTATGAAATACCCAAAAAGCTGTACTTTCTTTTTGACATCACAGAATATGTACAATACGTTATCTCTAAGTGATTAAGCACAATACCTACAGCAGAGGTGGAGAGTCTGAAGATTTTTGACGAATGAGTTGTCTTCAGGAATTTAGCTCTACTGCCAAGGGAATAGAGTCTCCTCTGAGCCAAAAACATGCTACGGGATAAAAGAAAAACTTTTACAGGGAGTGAATATATGATACTTACATTGCTATCAGACAATTATAGCAAGCTGATAGACCATAAGCTTATATCAAATATATAAAAAAAGTTTTGATAGTTTTTCTTCTCTGCGATATAATCACTGCAATCACTCTAACAAAATCCTCTTATACAAATTTGTAACATCTGTAAGGATGTTGTAAATTAAAAAAAATAAGGCTCTAACTTCGTCAAGGGCATTAAGTAAAAGTTCCATTTCTAGTAGCTATAAAATCCAGAATTTTTCAGTCTAAAAACTATTTAGAATTGTCTGGATAACAGTTACTAGTAAAAGCATGATCTGTAACAGTAAAGTGGCTAAACACAGGTTATTTAGAAAGTTGCTTGAAAAGGATTATATCAGGTCCCTGATAAATACAAATATATGAATGAATCTTAGGTTATTTTCTCATATGGTACTTCCCTCAACAAATCCATAGCTAGGAAGTTATTTCAATAGATTCCAGTTACATAACCAGCATGCATTCTAAGTTACTTCTCTACCTGTAAAGAAATCATTAACAATCATAGGTAGGGAGATCAAAGCAATATGAAATTCTGTTATTCTGCTGCCACTTAGAAGTGGAAGCAAACTCAGCTTTCTAAAGACATTCAGGCAAACAGACACCTCTCATGAGGTTTTGCTCTGTGAATGTTGTATCAGGGGATGGCATTTCCTAGCTCTCTGAGCAAACTTTAAAAAAGAGACAGACTAGGAGAATTCAAAGGGACACTGAAGCTAGCTATAAATCTCTTTGAGTTACCAAATGTTAAGGTTACAAAAAGTTTTAGGTACAAAAAATAATATATTGGATGTTTCTTTAAAAGTGAAATATAAAATCCTTACTGTGTGATTAAAATCTCAGCTTAAATGACAGCCCCTTAGCCATTCTATCTCACATCAGCCTATTTTAATTCTCTGCAAAGCTTTTGTGTATGTTTGTTTGTGTGGTTGGCCACTAACTCACTTATTCACAAATTTAAAACATAAACTCATGAGCAGGTGTGTTGAGTTCACCACTGTATTCTCTGGCATATAGTAGGTATTCAATAAATAAAAGTATTAAAAGACTGAATGAATTCATAAAATCACATTATAAATTAATGATTTAAGTGGATTATTTATAAGTCAGGTTATAAAATATTGATTCCTTTTATAAAGCAGTAACTATCCCTTATATTTTATGTCTTTCAAGTCAAAGACCAGGTTTTCTTAAATCAAGACTTGCCTATTTTTGTGTCACTAATTGTTCCTTTCAGGAGTAAAATATTAACTGGATTAGGCAGTAGGGTATTTTTAAGGAAAATTACCAAACGACAGGAACTATACAGAGAGCAATCTTCATTCAGTATCATGGAGTTATTTGATTTAAGACAATTTTCCCCCCACAAATAAACATCTATCTATTTAAATTCAGCCTAATTTCTTTGGTATTAAGCAAAATATAAGCAAAATGCTTTCTTGCAAGTAGACAAATGAGAGAAACCTCTTTTACTTTCTTGAGATAAACTGGGGGGAAACTGGACTAGGAATCAGGATACCGGGATTCTAATCCTCACTCTTGATTTTTTTTTAAAAAAAGTTTCTATCTTCAGACAAGTCCCAGACTCTTGTTGTGTCTCAATATTCCCATATTTCAAAACAGATGAATGAATGAATCCTTGGATTGAAGGTAATCTCAGAAGGTACTGTAAGTCACTGGCTGATCATGCCCGAGCTTAGACTGCAGCTCTCGGGAGACTTCACCCGAGGTTGGATGAACCATGCCCCCTGGCTACCAGGCCTCAGTACCTATTCACCTAAGAGAGTTGACACTAAATCCACCTATTTTCATCTGGAAATCCCAAGGCCTAAATCCTACATCTTCTCCTCTGTCTTTGACAGCACATTACCTCCAAAGTGAAATGTACTGCCCTGGCAAATGACCCAGCTTTTCATTTCTCTTCCACTTTCCAAACCTTCCGCCATATCTTCTGGAATAGCTGCACCATCAGCAGCCAATTTCATTATATCTTTATGTTCTCAGAGTGTTCCCTGTACCTCCTTGCTTTAACTCAAACCTTATTTTCCCCAAAGGTACCACTTCAATATTCCTCAATGTTGCCTTTTCTTATATGCTCTGCCTACCTCTTTCTTGATGCCCATTTTATCACTGCTAAACTGTTACTTCCCTCATCTGCCTCACTGATGTTATCCCCTGACCCGCTGATAACTCCCTGTCAATCATTAAGGATTTTGTCATTGAGCATACAGTTTTCTTCTCAACTTCAAGACCTGGGATCATCCAGGTAATTTCAATATGTTCAGAGATGGCCCATCCAACAACTGACTTTCCCATGTTCATTGCTCTCTCCTCCCACCATACCCTTTGCCATTACCTCAATCTGGTCTAATCCCAAAATAATTGAAGCATTCTGCTCTTTGACCTTTCAACTTGCTTAATTATCCCAACTATTCTTCTTCTTCAATATTATCAAGACCTCTAGGAGGCTGCTTCTCCTTTGCCCAATCAGCCTTTGCCTTCCTTTATTTTCCAATTTAGATGCCAGTTCTACCACTTCAGTAATGTTCTTGACAATGCCCTACCCAGGTTTGTAAAACCGTAATCCTGGATGAACTCAACTACAGTGTCTGTTTTTCCTATGGTCCATGAAGCTGTGGATTGTTGGAGAAAGTCACACAAGATAAGATCAGTTTCACCACAAACTCATGGTTATTAATCTCACATTGAACCTCAACTTTCTCCAGCATTTCTACTATATTTTATAGATGAAGAATGGCAGAATATGCCAGCCTAAAACATGCCACTAAGCAAGCATAAGGGTTATTTTGAGCTAAAGGCACTTGAAAAATAGTAGAGGAAAGAAGGGCAATCTCAAAAGGAAAACTTTAAAAAAAGATATTTTATCAGCTGTCCCCTTTCCTCAATCTATACTCCTTGACTGGTGCAATCTGCCTTTTGTACCCCTCACTCCATAGAGGCAGCTCTTGCTGAGGTCAATTTTGACCTCCATAATGTTAAACCCAGGGACATTCTGCAAGTCTTGAGCTCTCTGCAGCTTTAGCTACTGCTGGCCAGTGTCTCCTCCCAGAAACACCATGTTCTCCTGGCTTTTGACATATGACAGCCCCTCATTTTCACCCTACCTCTCCCTAACCTGTCCTTAAATGATGGAATTCCTCAATATTAAGACCTGGGCTCTCTTTTCTTCTCACTAGGTAATCTCATTGTGGAAAGAGTTGCGAAGGCAATGGGTGAAAAAATGGCTCCAAAGAAATCTAAGCAGGCTGATAGTCAGAACCTCTGAAGCTATTTCTCTTCTGCACTTTAAATAAACACATTTTAAAGCAGCACTTTTCTAATGTAATTAACATTCCAAATGTATATTCACCAACAAGGTAAATAAATAAATAAATGTGGATGTCATAGAAAAGTGACATAGAAATAAAATCAAAAGGTATATGGCTTTTAATTCAAAACACTATTTTCACTGTATTTTTCTAGTGTCTCCTTTAAAACAATGTTCTGTGAAAAAACACACAGGCAACTGTGAATCTAGAAAACCTCATTATAGCATATTCCACGTAAGTTAAACTCCACATTCAAATGCACATGACCAGTAGAAAATTAAACTATTCATTACCATTGGAGTAGATTGTTTCAAATGAAGACACAGAAAGTATGCATGGCAGATCTGAGGGTGACCTGAAACTAAGACAGCTGGTGAATTGTTGGGGTGGAATCCAGAGCTGAAATGTAAGCAAGGTAGTCAAAGTGAATTGGGAAAAGACTGAAGCTCTGAACTTAGACCCAAACTTACAACCACTCGATATATGGGGATGAGAGGCAGGAAGAGATTTAGTTCATTTGATACAGTCCACAACATTCAGGTTAACTGACAGTGCAAGGAAGATTTAATGAGGTAACTGCAAAAAAGGCCAGAGCTAAGAGTCTGACCAAAGGAAAGATCATCTGCACTTCACGCTCTACCTGTTCTCTTCCAGAAGGTTTATAAGGTGCAGTGACACAGCAGAGGGCATCCAGGAGGTGAACAAGGTGCTGGCTGGTTTAGTACAGTGGGAACAACAAGCCTCAAAGTCATGTCATGGGAGCACGAGTGGAAAAAATTAGCTGTAGTTAGGCGGCGCAATACTTAAGGAGACCTGACCGTGAAATTGCTGAAAAGCTGTTTTGTGAAAATGGGGTTCGTGTAGTTATACATTTCTCCAGGGGGAAGAAGTACGGCTGGCTGGTGTGAGTTAGCAGGAATTAAGTTTTAGCACAACGGAGATATCTTCTAATGGTTGATCTGCACCATTGGTGCCTAGTGTGGACGTGAGCGAGCAGCCCCGATTCTCGCCTCGGGTGGTAGAGGGCGAGCCCACGTGCTGGAGGCGGAGGAATTAATTCTGTACAGGGTGCGGGGCTCCCCCTTCTAGAGCTGCTCGGACTCCAAAAGCAACAGAGTGGACTGCTTTTCCCTTTCAACTAAAAACTTTAGATTCACTTACAGGGAAGGTTAGCAGCCTTTGTTTCCTTTTTTTTAAATTAAAATTCCCGGTTATGGATAAACTGGAGTCAGTGTCACCCTTGCCACGTTGTTTTCAAAATATCCAAACGGCAAAATCAAGAAGACAAAGGGCAAGCGATCACCTGAGTTCAAGGGCCAGTCACCTCGGCGTCATTCCCTCTCCAAAAGGACCTGTTAAATCCTGCGCGGACCCCCTGCAGCCTTCACCGAGGTCCGCCAGGGCTGGGATCCGCAGCTGCGACCCGCGCGCGCAGGGCGCAGGAGGGCGAGTCCGAGTCCTCAAGGCAATCCAGGCCGGCTCTTCCTCCCAGCCCCGCGCGCGGGGGCCGCAGCGCGGCCTCGCTCCGCACCACTCCGCCACCGCGGCCGCAATCTCCACTCGGTCCCGGGCTGCCCTCTTCGCGGCCCACTTACCTCCTTCACGCTCCAACCCTGCCTCCTGGACTCGAGTCCCGCGCGGGCTCGGGGGACTGGTGCGGTGGGATTCGGAGGTGGGGGCGAAGCCTGGGCGGGGACAGACGTGGGAATGGAGTCGAGAGTGCGGATTGGCTGACGGGGGATCGCGGCCTGGACGGCACTGGAGGGAATGGGCAGGGAGGCGGGGAACGGCGCGGAGCTGGAGGGAGTCCGGGGGCGGGAGAGGGCGCGTGTGGATGTGGCCCCGGGTAGCCCATGGGGTCTGGACGCAGGGCGCGATTGGCTGTGAGGGCGGCCGGGGCAGGGCCTGGCCTGCGCAGGTGGAGGTGCGGGCCTGTTTGGGCCTGCGGGAACCAGACCGGTCAAGGTAAGGGGGTGGGGTGGGGCGGGACTTTGAGGTGGCCGGTGATTGGGTGTGAAGTTTCCACCCCGGCCTCTAATTGGGTGGCGGGAATGATTGGGTGGGGGAGGGTCATAGGACCGGGAGCGCTTGGGAAGAAAGGGGAGGCTGTGAGGCCCCAGGGTTTAGGCCAGAGGTAGGTTGTGGTCAGAGTCATGCTGCAAGGTGCGCAGAGAGGTGTGTTTATCACCCGTGGCAGGGATGAGGGGAAAAGCATCGAGGGGCTTTATATTCCTGAACAGTCCAACGAGTTTGATCAGAGAACTGAGAATGAAGAGGGGGGAGGGGTAGTGAGATTTAGATCGAACATAAATAACATTTTAAAAGTAAAGAGGAAAGATCGACTAAGAGAAAAAGGAACCCCGTGAGTTACTCGTTTGGGGAAGGCGGTGTTGAGGAAAGGAGAGCTTCTAAGAATGGAGTTTCATAATCACATTTTCTTCCCCTCTTTTAAGAAGTTGGGAGGCGAGGTGGAGTGGGCGCGGCAGTAGCATTGTTATTCAGGCCTAGAGGAAAGGGAAAGATCCGCTTTGGGTGAAGGAATGCACTGTTCACCTAGGTACAAGGAGGTTCAGGAAATGATAAGGTGAATGAAGAAATTATTGTGTATGAAACATCATCTACTCCTAGATTTTGAACTGTCATGGGAGGCATTCATTTAGTCAATAGTTTCCAGCCAAAAAGCCCACGAGGAACACAGCTGTCCTCAGAAAGTTGGGTTTATTAGTCGTTGCCATGAGGGAGAACACACACCTTGGGCAAAGGCGGGTCATTTTAATAACAGTATTAGGAATGACTTTTTATGGGATTTGGGCTTGTATCAGGTAATTTGGGGGGAGGATTCAAGGAAATGGAGATTCGTTCTGTTTTGGGTGCTGTCGAGATGGGTAATTCTAAGATTGAGTATCATAATACAGCTTATGCAGAAGAAGGGAGGGAAACTGCAAGGCTAGATCTGTAATTGGTAAAGCGGCAAAAGTTTTACTAAACCTTTGAGAGGAGGAATTTGGTATTTGTGTAGTTGCAGCGTGACCTTGCCTTTATCTGTGTTCAGGCAAGATTATGAGGTGATCTTGTCTGTTGTCTTACTTTGTCAGGATCAGAGTGGCTTTGATGCTGGCATTCTGTCATGTTGTTTCAAAGGGACACACCGTTGCTAGCTCCTAACAACATTAAAGCCATGAGGGTGTGTCAGTTCAGTCCCTGATAACAGCTGCTGCTTATCTTTTTCTCACATTGAACAAATATGACTTGAGTACATAGGTGCTGAGGCTTCTGGGGAAAATGAGGCAGAGAAAGTGTGTGTCTTAAACCTTACGGAAGGAGAAACAGTAAACAAGTAAATATATACAGTGACTTCAGAGGTTGATAAGTGCTCTGAAAGAAGCAATGAGGGGTGGGGACAGCAGATAGTTTGTATACGATGGTCAAGAAGGACTTTTTTTTTCCTTGAGGAGTTGATATTTGAACCCAGAATTAAATCATGAAGACACAAGCTTGCAAAAAGTGATTCTGGAAAGGAAAACAGCAGTTGACAATGCTTTTAAAAGGGAACAAACTTGGCATGTTCAAGGACTAGAGAGACCAGTGTGTCTAAACATAGTGATGCAGGGGGAAAGTGCTTCCGCATTAGGGTGGAGAGGAAGGCAGGGGCCTGGTCACGCAGAGCTTTGAAGACCACAGAAATGAGTTCAGATTTTATTCTGAAGCAGCCATGGGAAAATCTTTAGCAGAGAAATAATGTGATCTTAATTAAATTTTAAAAAGATAGACTACCTGCCTTGGAGGTGAGACTTGTGGTACACAAGGATAGAAGAGGAAGATCTGTTAGAAGGTTGTTCAAGTGACAGGCGAGGTTGGCGGGGCTGGGGTGGAGGCAGTAGAGAGAAAGAGGGCAGTGGAGGGAAAGAGGGCTACGAGAACCAGCTGCAGCTACTGTGCTGGAGACACCCCTATGGAGCAGGATTTACTTTAGTGGAGCTTTGGTGTTCACCAAGTGTGCACTTGAGTGTGTCACTCGTGGATGTGGTAGGGTTGTAATCCAGTGTAGTAGAGTCTGACCACCAGTTGCAGTGTCTCTGGGGCCTCCTGGGAGGTGCAAAGACAGCCAGTGCCTGTGCCTTGCTCAGGGCCACCCAGCATGAGCTACACAGCAAACCGTAGTTGGCTGCTACTTGTGCTGGGCTTGGCAGTGTCCAGGAGAGGCCAAGCTATGAGCCAACGTAGGCTGCTGCTAGTTCCAGGCCTGGGGCCACTTACCAAGCCAGATGGGGCCCGCTGCTGCTTGTTTGAGAGATTTTAGGAAAGTCCCAAGCATGAAGCTTGAGAGGCCACTTGCGCAGAAAAGCCCCTGGAGATGGCCTGGATGAGATTTCGGGTAGGTAAGGGCAGGGCTTCCAGGAATCACCGGGGCGGGGCCAAAGATGTGGGTAAGGTGCTAACAATTCAAATATGGGGCCTGCCAAAGGAGCGGTGGCCTCCGCCAGCCCTTCTGCCTGGGAGGAAGCTGCCCCTCCAGCTCTCACCCTGATTCCAGGCAAGTTAGTTCCTCCCCAAGTGTCCCAGGTCTCTTTCAAGCTGCGGCTCAGAGGGAGCGCGTCTGAGTGAGTCCGTGTGCGGGCCCTCTAAGAGGAAATCCTGGGACTCCCGCCGCCTCAGCGTCACTCAGCCACAATCCCCTCTGGTTTTCACTGCCCGGAGTTGTGGAGACTTCTCTTCCCAGCCTTGGAGCCCTGGGCTGGGGGCCTGATGTGGGGCTGGGACCCCTCGCTCCTCTGGGAAACCTCCACTGCCGAGATTCCCTCCCGGGTTACCCCGCGGCACCGGGTGTGGGCCGTGTCTCTGGGATTCAGCTCCTATCCGCCCACGTCTCCACCCCTCCTACGGGTCTCGATGCTTCTTCAGCTCCCTGTTGTAGGGCTTCTGTTCAGCCAGATTTCAGGAGGTTGTGAGTGATGGTTGTTCTGTATTTTAGTTGTAATTTTGATGTGGTTGTGGGAGGTGATGGGTACCGCTGTTACCTACGCCGCTGCCATCTTGTTGTCTCTCCAGACTCTGTTTTGAACTTAGTTTGGGGAAAATAGTCTCCGTAATAAAAACTGAGTGAGTTTACCTGTCTTGTGTTCTCTGAAACCCTGTCTGTCACAGAACTCTCAGTGGGTGGGAAGGGTGGTGTGAGTGTGAGCGTGTGTGCGGTAGTAATAGGCATATTACGTGGCACTCTGAATTCTGGGCCATATTTATGCCTCTTTCTATTTGGATAAAACCTTAACACAAACAATGGACATATTTTTAGTGCCCAGTGGAACTTAACAAATACTAGGCATATGCTTTTGTCAGGGCTAACTCTATGAAGAAGGGTCTTTAACCTTCTCTACAATGAGTAAAAGGATCAGAAAATCTACAAGGGAGTTGGAATCTAAGGAGATTCATGGGTCATGATCGATCCCATAATCTCTTGGACTTAGAATGGTTTTCAGCATAGAGAACCTGTGCATGTTTCATTAGATTTCTTCCTAAGTATATCATTTTAAAAAAACAGCCATCATAAGTGGTATTGTTTTTTAAACTTTGGTTTCCAATTATTCATTGCTTTTGTATAAAAATACAGTTTTGTATAAAAATACAGTTGAAAATTGATTTATGTGTATTGACCTTGAATCTTACAACCTTATTAATCTCATTTATTTGTTCCAAGCGTTTTTTTCCTGTGTGTTTTTTGTTGTTGTTGTTTTTTGTAGATTCCCTGGGATTTTTGTTATATGGATAATCATAGTATATGAGAATAAAGACAGTTTTGTTTTATCCTTTCTGATCTATATGCCTTTTATTTATTTGTTTTATTTTTTGCCATATTGTACAAAGCCTTTCATTACAATGTTTAATAGGAATGGAGAGACTAGACATCCTTGCTTTGTTCCTGAGTTAGAGAAAAAGAATTAACTTTTCATCATTAAGTTTGTTAGGGGAAGGGTTTTTTGTAGATTCTTCTTATCAGCTTAAGGAAGGTCACTTTTTCTCAAGTGTAGTGACATTTTTCCAAATTCTAAAACTGCTTGAGTTATGCCTTGGGTAAAGGGTGTCCAGAAAAGTTCTTTTCCTTAGGTCTTTAGCTTAAGATACAGGTTTTCTTGTTTTCCATCCTATTCCTGAGATCTTCTATTTCTCTCTGAAGTTGTCGGTTCTGACCTTGGAATCCTTCCTTTAGTAACTGGGCCTGTTCCTAAAAAGGGACAAATAAAAAAGGGTGAATAAAGTACAGCAGTAAGCAAATCTCTAACTTCTAGCTAGTTTCCACATGCATAGATTTTTATTGTTTTTTTAGTATTTAATTTCTTCTTGAAATTTTCTCTACTGTTAATTTTCATTATGCTCTCTCTTGGGCATCCTAGCTCCATGATTACTTTTCTTGAGCCTCCTTTAGCTAAGAAAGATTTTGGCTTATACCTTCTGATGTATTGATGAACTTAAATTACAAGTCTTGATCTTTTGTCCCATTAATTCTATACAACCTTTTTGGGTAATCTTAATCATAGGTTTGTTTTCAAATCTTATCTATGCATTATAGACTCTCTTATATACACACACACATACACACAGAGACTCTTTTATATACACACACATAACAGAAGTAAAAAATTCTCAAAATCAAAGGAGGTGTCTGATTCTTAGGGCAGAGAATTTGATTTAAGCCTCCATAGCTTGGTGGCAAGGGTAGCAGAAAATAATACTGGAAATCAAGGCCCCAAATCGACCATACTGGATTTCTGCACATAACTCACTACAGAAACTGGGAGTAGGGCATAGAAAACAACCAGGAGTGGCAGACTAACAGAGATATGAGAGCTAAGGAGTCTTTCTGCTCATAAAGGTTCTCGAGGAACTCATCATACCAAGTGTGACAGAAAAACAGTGATTGTGGATTCCCCTAAGTGGTGAAGGTGGTTCAGATATATTACCAAGCTGTGTTACCCTATAAAAGTTAGTTAATCTTTTCTGAACCTCTGTTTCTTCTCCTAAGTCTTAGGGAGACAGCAGTTCTTCATATAATATTAAACAAGAGAACAGATAAGACATTTTATAATCCCTAGCAGATGATAGCTGCCATTGATTGAAGAATATACTGATAAAGGACTGGATGTGATATAAATGCAAATAAAATTTTTTATAACCGGACATAGGCAGGCGTCAGGTCAGGCAGACAGACAGTATAAGTGGGCGAGAAAGGTCCTTCTGGGCTTCATGTTCTAACAGACACACTAACAGGTCAGGGAGAGTGGAGAGAAAACAGAAAAGGAGAAACCTCAAGGTGATGCAATTAAATACCTTAAGTTTAAGAGCGAGAGTCCTCTCTTGCTCTGCAATTAACTGGGCCCTCTCTTTCTCCATCTTCTCAGTCAGTTGTCTCACATGTTCCTGATAACTCTTTTCTTTCTCCTCCATCACCTGCTGATTCTCCTTCTGTATTTCCTGCAACATTTTTGCTGCAGCCTCTGCAGATTCAGTTTTCACACGTTGCACTGTCAGGGGGAAAGGAAGAAGAAAAATTCACGTGGATGACCACGTTGCTTTTTCCGAGTTGTAAACCTACCTGTCGTTGCTGCTGACTGCGCTGCCTTACTGAGAACTGACTTCAGTTAGTAAGAGTCATCTTTGCGCATCTTGCTCTTATTACGGGACCCCAGGTTCACCCAGCCAAGTTATTTAAACTTTTTTTTTAATAAAGCTATTACATGCCGAAATGAACCTCTTATTTTGATAATTATTTCTGTAGATGATGCACAGAACAACACACTGAAATTAAATTCAGTCTCACTTCACCAGGGTTCTTTTGGTTTTCAATCTTCACCTGAGGATACTTTTCCCATTGCTTTTCAGAGAGAGTGGAAGGGGGGAGAGAGAGGGAAACATCGATGTGAGAGAGACACATCAACTGGTGGCCATCAGGGCAGGGATTAAGCCTGCAACCAAGGTATGTGCCCTTCCCTGGAACTGAACCCAAGACCCTTCAGTCTGTAGGCTGACGCTCTAACCACTGACCAAACCCGCCAGGGCTATTTAAACTTTTAAAAGCTGTTGAGGCTATCTAGTCTCTAGACTCGCTCCTCACCTTCGATCTCCTTTTCCTTTTCCTTGAGAGTCTGGTCTGTCTGTAGAATTGCATCAGTCACAGACTCCTTGGACTTCAAGTATGTCTGAAGAACTTCTTCACTCTAGGACCCAGAGAAAATAGCATTAGTGACAGGAAATAGCCATGAGCGCTTACTCCTATCTGCCCGCCATATTTTCCTCTAGGAATTGCTTCTCTTGGCTCTGGTGTGTCTGCTGGTCAAGTCCCTGTCACTCATTGGGCACATGCTCCAGGTTGGCCAAGCATGGCACCCTACAAAGCAGAATCCTCTGTATGAGATTGATATGCTTATAGATGGAGAGTCTCTGTTCTCTGAGTGAGGGCTCATACTTTTGGACATGTTGGTACTGTAGTCCCGTATGGGGCGAGCTTGCTGGGGAATGAAGCCACTGTAGAGAGAGCAGATCCAAGGAAAGGAGGTGGAGGGTGAATGGAGGAAGGGAGGCGTGGCGTTGAGGGGAGCAACAGACATACAGACAGACAGATAAATGTTGGTTACCTGTATTCCCTTTCTGGGTTCCTGATAGTACTTTTCCTTCAGCTCTTTCATAACCTGGATGAAGAGACGGTATCCTCCTGGTTTAGAATAAACCCCCTGCTTTATATCTTCTTCTAAAGAACTGAAAATATCTTTAAGTAAAGCCGAGCAGCGATCCGATGATGCTTTCTTATTCTGTTTACAGAAGTCTTCTAGCCTTTTCTCTAGCTGGGCCTTTCATGTGAAAATAAGAAGTAAAAAGAGTAGAGAGAAAATGTTAGCTTGAGCTCAAGATTTTTGGAAAGGCTTCTCAAAAGATAGTCTGTGACCCCGATAAAAACTTATAGGCACCTCAGCAGGACCACATCCTCCTGATCCTGTCTTTCTATTGAAGTCCCTTTCTCATGGCAGAGATTGCTACCTTTACATTAGCATTCTCTGCCCATCTGCCAGTCATAGTGGGCCATGGCCTTTTACACTGCAGCTGCATTCTCCATCTGGGCCAAGGCGAGGACTGTGTTCTCCATGCAGGGCAGATCCCCACTGCTGATGGCATTGACATAGGTCAGCACTAGGGTTTCTAGTTCTACAAAAACACCTTCAGAAATAAACTTCTGCTTTTCAAATTGTACCAATGATCGCATATGGAATGAATGTGGCTCAATTTAAGCCTGCTCAAGATAACTAAGACTACATATTTCTTTGCTTTTGGCTATAATTGTCAATCAGTCTGATAACAGCAAACATGTAACTTGATTAGAAGCTCTGATTGTTACTTATATGCATTTAACTAAATTATAAGAAAGAGTATTAGTTTATGCAAGAAAGAAAAATGTTTCAAAACTTTAGGTCAATTATAATAAATTGCTTCTTCTTATAATAATAACAAATAGTGTTTTTAAAAATCATTTTAAAGTCTAGTAAGAATTCCTTCTCCCATAATAAACACCCATTTCATTTTCTAGGACTTTGCTTTATGAGACCCTAATCCATGTGAATGTGAGAGAAAAATTACCCCTAAGTCCTTTTGAAATAATTGGTCTACATCCTTAAAGGAATTCTTCATGAAGACTTCGATGGCCTCTTTCTCACTGGCCCTGTGCAGGTCCAGCAGCTCCTGGAGGGTTTCTGTGGGCAGCTGCACCTTCTCACCCATCTGCCGGTCATAGTGGTCAATGGCCTTTTGCACTGCAGCCGAGTTCTCTATCTGGGCCAAGGCCAGGACTGCATTCTCCATGCAGGGCAGATCCCCACTGCTGATGGCATTGACATAGGTCAGCACCAGGCTCTCCAGGCCTACAAATAGAGAACAAAAGATAAGTTTATTGTAGGTGGGGTGAGGAAGCAGTCTATTCTCTGTAAATCTGATGATGTCTTTCACCACTCATTTGGCTCACAGCATCTATGTCCTCAGCATCACCTTCTAGAAATGCAGACTCTCAGCCTCTGCCCCCAATCAACTGAATTAGATCCTCCTCTGGCAAGACCCTTGAGGGATATGGATACATAGCAAAGGGTGAGGACCTCTGTTCTGTATACCATAGACCTATGTTTATTGAGTGCATGTACTTTACTCCCAAGCACCATTAGGACAGGAAATGTAAATCTCTCATTTATGACTCTATCATCAGTTCTGGTCCTTGGTAAGCATTTGTAAAATCGATATTTGTTAAAAAGGAGTCCTCTACCCTGGCTGGGTGGCTCAATTGGCTGGAGCGGCATCCCATGTACCAAAAGGTTGTGGGCTTAAATCCCCATCAGGACACATACCTAGGTTTCGGGTTCAAGCCCCTATGGGGCGAGTGCGGGAGGCAACTGATCAATGTTCCTCTCTCTCTCTCTTTCTTCCTCTCTCTAAAATCAATGGAAAAATATATCCTTGGGTGAGGATTTAAAAAATTAAAAAATAAAAATAAATTTAAAAAAGGAGTCCTCCATTTTATTTATTCTAACAGAACACTGTCCAAGAGATCTTTCTGTGACGATGGTCTTGTGCTCTATGTGCTGTCCAGTATTGCAGTCACTAGCCATGTGTAGGTATGGGCCCTTGAAATACAGCTGTGTAATCAGAAATTCTAATTTTCTTTCATTTTAATTAATCTACACTTAAGTTTAGATAACTACAATTTCTAATAGCTACCATATGGAATAGGACAGGTCCAGTTTAATTGGGCAAATTTCAGTGATAGAGCTTTTTTCTTTGTCCTTTCCTATCTTTGCTCACCCAAGAACTCTGACTAATAAAACCTATTAGAAATGTTGTGTCACGTAGAACGTACCACAGGAATTGCACTAGATTTGCATTTTTCAAAGCTGACACTAGGTGGACGTTCCACTTTCTTTTAGTCTTGACAGTGAAGATAAAGACCAAGAAGAGGACTCACGGGGCCCGTTGACCTGGATGCCTCCTGAAAGAGTTTTGACTTTGGAACTGCTGAAGATGTAGGAGCAGAAGTCTGCAGCTTGTTGCACAAATTCGGAGTCCAGCTCGTCGTCGTGCATGGTCTCCAGTTCGCTTAGCTTCTTCCGGTGAGTGGGCCGGTCAAAGATAAAGCATTTCTTGTTCGGGAAGAACTTCCGGATGCAGAGTCGGGGCAGGTTAAATTTTTTATCTTTATCAGTGGTACCTGGAGAAAGATTTTTTTTAAAAAAAGACTTTGCTTAATATAGGAGCTTGGAAACTCTTTCTATAAAGGGCCAAACGGTAAATAGATTAGGCATTGCGGGTCAGGTGGTCTCTTTTCCCAATTATTCAGTTCTGCTAGTATAGCGTGAAAGCAGCCATAGGCAATCTACATAGCATTAGTCCAATAAAACCTATTTATAAGACAGCTGGCAGGCTGCTTGGGCCATCATTTGCCTGTGGACCATGGTTTGCCAACCCCTGGACTAGTGCACTGTTCATACTTTATTTTCTTTAAATAAATGCCCATCCTACTCCATGTTCTTTGGGCTAATTACAGCATCACAAACTCTAAGCAAGGAGAGAAAATCAATCTGATTATAGCACAGGGAAAGGAGAAAGAAAAAGAAACTTGGTCTTAGAACACGGAAGAAGACAATTCAAAATCAAATCTATTAATTCACATATTAAACAAGCATTAATTTTTAGAACTAGCCAGCTGAGATGAAGTAGAAAACTATACATATAAGAAAGCTAAATAGAAAAATAAAAAATGATGGTTTCTAGTGTCTTGTGATTCCCAATAATCAATTCTAAGTCTGCTTTACCATGCTTAAGTTTGAGTGAATTCTGCAGGTACTCGTCTGGTGAGATGGATTGTCCATCCACTTCCAACACTAGGGAGAAATCCCTCAGTGTCCACACAAAATCTGGAAAGAAGCTCACAAAGTCAGCTGAATCCTCAACATTATTTGCATCAGGTGAAGATTTTGCCCTTATTCGATCTGTCAGCTCTGTCACATAGCTGAGTAGCAAACTAAGGAAAACTGGTATAAAAGAACAGTGCCCTTCGTCCCATGTTAGTCCCACGTATTCCCAACCTTTGCTTTGCCTTTGTTTCTAACCCGAGTGTCAATTCTTCAGTAGGTACATAGGATCTTTCTCCTGCCCTTGAATTATTTTTTATACATTCTGTTTTTGTGCATGATTAACCAGGATTCACATTTAGGCAGCTGGTTTTTAAGTACAGGTCTCCCCTCTGATTTTGATGATGTTCTGGACCACAAAGAGGATACTGCAGTTGATCCATGGCCTGCTGGTTTATGGTCCCCATGCTATTGTACACAAAGGTGCTGCTCAGCAGTATTGCCAGGGCGAAGATCCAGGAGTCATTTTTGTTGTCACCCTGGAAATCAGAACACATTTGAGCCAGGATTATGATTTATTCTCATGGCACTTTCCAGATCAGCAGTAGTAAAAGGATGCTCATTTAATCAGAATTTTTTTTTTTTAGAGTAATGACTTACAGGAGGAAACCAAATCCAAATAAAAATGACTGTTAGTAGGACTTGGACTTTGAATAGTTTCCCGATTAGTATTTTTGGTTTACACTGATTCTCACTAGGTCCTCTTATGATCATTTGCAGATAATTGCAAAACAAATAGTCAGGGTTGGTGGGTGTTCTAAAGCCTTAGATATCATTTTAATTTTCTCTATGTTTTTACAGAAAATTGACTTATATAAGGGTAATAATACTTATAGCTATTTTATGGAGCAATTATTCTGCACATAACACTTTCCATTCTTATTAAATATTCAAAACAATACTATGAGGCAAATATAGGTTGTTAAATCAGTTTTACAGATTAGAAAGCTGAGGTTAAAAGAGGTGAAGTAATTTGCTAAAGCCACTGTGTTAATGACAGAGTTTAAATTTAAACAACAGTTTAGTACTTCTGAACATTAATCCTTACCTGAAGTTGTCTGCAGGATAAGACTCAAGACTGATTTTGTTTGTACTACCTTTATGCATCTGGATTAACTGGCTTAACTTATAGCCTATTGTTAATAATTAGAATACTATCTACTGATCTCTATGCTCTTCTAGGATTCTGCCTTATCAATATTTTCCTGACCCCTGATTGCAAAACTTGGTCTCGTAGCACATGAACAAAAATGAAAAAAACATTATGGTTGAGCGCAAGCTCTTATTTGAATTAAAATTAAATAGTGTAGCGAATATCCAGAAATGAGCAGATTGTCCCCAAATTGAATCTTCAGTACTTACCTTCTCTACATCTCCCAGGCCTTCAGTGTCAAGGAGAACTAGGGTGTGTTTTGGTTTCTTGGGATGAGGCACACACCACATCCAGATTCCCTTGGTGTGAGACTGTACTGTGGAGCCCAGAGAGAAGCCTGCAGGGGGAGAGGAGATGGAGGGAGTGGGATTTTAACAGCAGATGTGTCTGGAAATTGAGATAAAAGTTAACATAATCAAGGTAAGGAGAGAGAACCAAAACCATAACCAGTATTAATTTTACAGAGAAACGGAAATTTGAATATCTGATACATGAAAACATTCAGTACCTTTTTATGGTAAAAATAGTCAACAAACTAGAACTAGAAGGAAACTAACTAAACATAATAAAGGCCGTATATGAAAAACCTTCAGCCAACTTCACACTCCATGGTGAAAGACAGAAAGCTTTCCTTCTACAAAAATTAACCAAAATAGTTCAAAGACCTACATGTAAGAGCTAAAACTATAAAACTCCTAGAAGAAAACATAGGAAAACTTCATGATATTGGATTTGGCAATGATTTCTTGGATATGACACCAAAAGCATAAACAACAAGAGAAAAATAGATAAGTTGGACTTCAAAATTAAAACTTTTGTGGATCAAAGGATACTATCAACAGAGGGAAATATTTCTTAGTTAAGGGATTGATATCCAGAATATATAAAGAAGTCCTACAATGCAACCCCAGAAAACAAACAACCCAGGTAAAAAATAAGCAAAGAACTTGAACAGACATTTCCTTAAAGAAAATATACAAATAACGAATAAACACATAAAAAGGTGATTAACATCACTAGCAATTATGGAAATACAAGTCAAAACCACAGTGAGATACTATTTCACAGTCATTAGGATGACCCCTATCAAAAACCAAAATAACAGATGTTGGGGAGAAGGTGGAGAAATTAGAATCCTGTGCATTTCTGGGAGAAATATAAAATGCTACAGTTGCTGTGGAAAATGATATGGTAATTCTTTAAAAATTAAATAGAATTCTAGGAAAGGAATAAAAATGTATGCTTTTAAAAGGGGAAATTAAGGCAAAGTGGGAAGGGACAGTGAGTTGAACTCTTTCGGATCCTGGTAAAGATAAGAGGATAATTGTAGATTAAAAGTTAGCTTTCAGTATTCCTCCCCCTCTCTAACTTTCCTTGCAACACCATACTCATGCTGGGAGTGTGGGTGGACAGAGGGATCTGGCAAAGCTTTGCTGGTGCCCCCCTTACCTCTTGTTTTCCCAGCCAGCTTGTTCATCAGGTAAGATTTGCCTGTGCGGTAGAGGCCCACAATGGCCACCACCACAACAGGCTGTGTAATGGCAGACAGGATCTTCAGAGCTTCTGGATTAACCACTAGTCGCTCTTTATTGTTCTCAATGAGGCACACGGGACCTGGCATGTCCATGGTGTCACCTTATCTGCAAGTGAGGAGATAGGATGAATTTGAATTTCACCAGGTTATTTTTCATTCAGAAGGTGGAGTCATAAAGTTCCCCAACATGGACAAAAAGTTTTGTGTCAACAGTGAGATAGATGAGGGGAAGATCTATATTATTTTAGAAAGTTACAGACGTGCAATAGAAATAGCCCATTAAAAAAATATTGGTTTGACAATGACATCAACATTTAACCACTTTCATAAACAAAATCTTTAATTTACCATGGAAAACTTTCTTTTTATATTCTCATTAAAATTTTTAAAACAGACATCAAATGTAAAATAGAATAGGGTTGAGAGGGTATTTTACATCCTGGCTATATGTAAGAAATTCGATATTCATTTATTCATTAATTCTGCTATGAATAATGACTTCTGTGAATAAATGTTTCATCTTTTGATGTATGCCCTTTGGACAATTTTCACAGATTTTAAATGTCTTTTTTTCTACCAGTTGTATTCATTTTGCTAAAATGAGGGTTCACAGAACTGTTTACACTGCTGTTTCAAAAGCGGAACCAGTATAACTTATGCTTGCAAATCTGATAAAAACGTATGGCTGTATGAAATATGACTAGGGACCCACCCAAAGCCTTGGTATGGGCTTGCGTTAGCAAGGGTCCCTGATGACTTCAGCTTCATTGGCTTCACAATAAATACGCCTCCAACTAAAGAATGTTGCTAAGAACCATGTTTGTGTATATATGTGTGTGGTGTAAGGGAACAAAAGACTATGAAATATGGATTAAAAGATCAGGAGAGCTAGGGAGGAAACGGTTCAAAGAAAATATATTTTCAGCCGTACACTTCTAGGCTTTCTGTTTCATTCCGTTTTTCCATTTGGTAGAGGGGAAGGAGAAGCAGGAAGAAGATGGGATGGGGAAAGGGAGAGGGAAGGAAAGGGTGAGGGGGA